TCTAAAATAACATTAGACATCATAACATAAGTCTAAAATAATCTTAGACATCATAACATAAGTCTAAAATAACCTTAGAAATCATAACATAAGTCTAAAATAATCCTTGACATCATAACATAAGTCTAAAATAACCTTAGAAATCATAACATAAGTCTAAAATAATCTTAGCCATTATAACATAAGTCTAAAGTAACCTTAGACATCATAACATAAGTCTAAAATAACCTTAGACATCTGCAACGCATCTGTGTGGGCTATGATGTTACTTGTTGTATGTTGTACATATCGCTTACACTATTCAACCTCATTTAACATACGTCCATGTCTATCCAAACAAGGACGAAATAACTCCTTGACTTTGCACCACGACGTTTATTTGCCTGATGAACGAACACACAATAAAATAATATCTCTGTGGATCAGAGTAAATATAAGTGTCACATATTTAACTTCTTCCACTTCACAAAATCAACATTAAGATGGTGTTTTTATAATTAACTGAACATGGCCAGCGCTAAAATAAAGAAATCTCCAACGTTCACTCTTGACTTTCTTCTCTGCAACATCACTGTCTGTTAACCTCTATCTCATAATTCCTTAGCTTCCTGTTATTTCTACTTAACAAAACATGCAGTATTTTACGAAACAAAATTGATATCTAAATATTAGATCTGTGACAACATCATAACACATGCCTAAAATAGCCTTAGACATCAAAACATAAGTCTAAAATATGCGCACCCTTGATTGGCGAATATTTTTTTTTTTTTTTTTTTTTTTTTTTTTAATTTTTTTAAATAGAAAAAATTCTTTTGAATGAATTAAAGGCCAATAAAGTTTGGTCAACCCATGCCAAAATATAACAAGACAAGTTTGGTATAGCAAGGATGAAAAGGACAATAAAGATACCCCCGAGAAACAAAACACCTGTAAAAAATGTGTAAATAACGAAGCTAAAGAGTTGATTAGAATTATAGAGAAGACATCTAGAGACCGGAAGGCAGGTAATGACATAAGACATGTCGCAACATTATTTTACTGAATATGGATAGTAGTAAAATTAAAACTTCAGCCCTAGGTGACATGTTTAGTGCCCTGTGCCAGAATGGGGGTGGAAAATGCAATAAAGAAGAAGGCGGTCGAGACTGAGTTCAAGCCGTGTGAATGAAAAAGTAAGGAAATTGGTTTGTCAACACCTGAATAATGACAACCAAAAATAAAACATCCAAGATAATTTTTCGGCTGAAAGTCTTCATGAACACAAAAATAAAATAAATACCGCATAAAATCAAATCATAACTTGGATTAGGAGACTTGAAGTTATTCAAATTTTAGATTCTGATGATTTATATATTTAAATGTTTACCAGCTGTTGACAAGAGGGCAGAAATCAATAATCAGCACTGACGTCGAGAAAATATCGAACAATAAAAACATAGAATACTTAAAAAAACACAACCCCCCCCCCCCCCCCCCCCCCCCGGGACCAAAATCAACCTGATTCATTCATTAGTCCTCTCCATTTTCTTGTATGCCTGCGAGTCCTGGACATTTACAGCAGAACTTGAAAGAAAAGTAAAGGTGATGGAGATGAAATGTTTCAGAAGGATTCTTGGAATCTGCTGTAGAGACCATATCTCCAATTGCACAAGTGAAAGAAAGGATTTGTCAAGCAATTGGGCCGTATGATGACCTCCTGGTGACTGTAAAAAAGCGCAAACTGGAATGTTATGGCCACGTGACAAGAAAACAAGGGCTCGCCAAATGAATCATTGAGGAAGGAGAAAAACATGGGAAGATAACATCAAAAAGTGGACGGGACTAAAATTAGGCGATGCTGTGCGAAGTGCAGAAAACAGAAACGAATGAAGGATAGTTTTCATGTCATCTGTGGCGCCCCAACGGTCAAAAGACTAAGGGGACAATATGATGATGATATATGATGATGATATATGATGATGATATATGATGATGATATATGATGATGATATATGATGATATATGATGATGATGATATATGATGATGATGATATATGATGATGATATATGATGATGATATATGATGATGATATATGATGATGATATATGATGATGATATATGATGATGATATATGATGATGATATATGATGATGATGATATATGATGATGATATATGATGATGATATATGATGATGATGATATATGATGATGATATATGATGATGATGATATATGATAATGATATATGATGATGATGATATATGATGATGATATATGATGATGATATATGATGATGATATATGATGATGATATATGATGATGATATATGATGATGATATATGATGATGATATATGATGATGATATATGATGATGATAATCATCGAGTATCTGGTGTTGGGGGTGCTGGGATTGAAAATTTGAACAAAACATGCATACAAGTAACGAGCTTTATAAGAATCCCAAATACAGCCCCCCCCCACTAGACCGGAGGTTTGAAACCGCAAATATTTTTCGCGCCCTTTAACTCTATTAATGTCTCAATTCTCCAACCCGCTTGGACACCACAGATTTCTTTCACTAACTTTTTCTGTAAAACAAAAATAAAATTTACGCTACAAACGCACTTGTGATTTTTTTTTTTTTTTAAAGAATCTCATTTGCCGCAGTTTCCTACAATTTCATTTCGTGAAATCAGTGGCCTCATATTTCCATTATCTTCTTCTTTAAAACAGAGAAAAACTAATTTATAAGGGATTAAAGTTAGGATTGGGGCTGAAATTTTGAAAGACTATGTTGTCATTTGCAATTATTTTTTTTTATTTAACCGTTTGAATATTTTGCCAGGCATGAACGAAAGCGAAGTTAATATAAATGATTTACAAATCTTCATCAGCTCGAATATTATACCAAGCTAGAAAAACATGGTGTGTGGGGGGAGGGTATTATTCTATTGTAAACTTTACATTTAACCGTCAAGGGGATCGATACCACGACCCCAGCAATAACAAGAAACTAACCCAGAGGTAGAATAGTACTCTTCTAAGACCGGAAACCTTCTAAGCCTTGCGCCTGTAAACCCAAGGTTTTTGCCTAACCATGATTACAGCTCTACCATAGATGATATGGCATCTGCTGACTGGAAAGACAGCTGACCCTTCGTACACCCCTTTGCTGAACAAAACAAACAGTCGGTGCTTTGAGAAAGTTTTGAAGGGTGTAAAACCGTCAGCAGAATTACAGTGTCATCGCTCATTGAGAGGTCCCCCCCCCCCCCATATAACAGTGTCATCATCTTCCCCTTTGCTGAACAAAACAAACAGTGGGTGCTTTGAAAAAGTTTTGAAGGGTGGAAAACCGTCAGCAGAATTACAGTGTCATCGCTCATTGAGAGGTCCCCCCCCCCCCATATAACAGTGTCATCGTCTCACTGTGACGTACGCCCCCATATAAGAGTGTCATTGTCTCACTGAGACGTACGACCCCATTTAACAGTGTCATTGTGTCACTGAGACGTACGCCCCCATATAACAGTGTCATTGTCTCACTGAGACGTACGCCCCCATATAACAGTGTCATCGTCTCATTGAGAGGTACCTCCTATTTATACGTCAAAGTCCATCATCCTAAATTATGCCAGGAGTGTTACACAAAAAATGGTGCATAACGCCATTGTCGTGGGAAACACAATGGACAAGCCAGTAAAACCTGATAAATCTCATGGTGATGGTTAAATAATTATTTACAAGTCAGCTTTACCTTGCTCATAGCATCGTTTAATACATTCCCGAGAAGCACCGGCCACAGGAACAATACAAAGTTTTTTTACTGAAGGGGACAAAAAATGCCATGGCATCCGTTCTAAGTTTCTAGACAAAGAAATCAATGCAAAAAAATCAGATCTTGTAAAGAGGTTACCATGTCGACGGTGTAATATCTCACAGCTTGGTATCAAACATATAGTTGCGTATTTATATACGGATTCTCTCGAAGACAAACTCCTCTGTCTCCTGCCCAAGTTAACGTAAGTGAGGGGGTGGTAACAGGGAAATCCCTTCTCACGAGTTGAGCAGCCTCGAAGTAGCTTTAGGTTTCAACGCCCCCCCCCCCCCCCACTGATCAGGCAGCACTTAAACTATGCGATGTTTTATATATATATGAAAGTGTCCCTGCCCCAGATTTATCACAATCCGTAGAGAAAAACACAAACATGCAATTATTTTACCCCATGGGCATGTTCAGCCATCAAATGTGCATCTACATATGGATGATTTTTGCTGAAATATTTTGGGATTATAATGTCCACATTCAGTACTGATGAGCTAAACACAAAGTTTTTTTCTGGCCAATACTCGTATTCCGAAATATCTCTCTCCTCAGTATTTTGGCCACAAACTCCTCTGATGACCGTGTCTAACACCTGTCCAGCAATTTATTTCACGAGCGCGTTCTCCCGTCAACTAATTCTATGAAAAAAAAATTCATTTCAATAATTAGGAAATTTAAATTCATTACGTTCGCTCTTTTAATTAAAAAGTAGTCGAATCCTATTTCTATTAATTTTAACCAATAGAAAGTTTAAATTTCCAATCATTCATATTTTTCCTCCCCATTAATACAGTTACACAAGAAGTTTTTCTCAGATCCACCAGGGAGGTTTTATGGGTAGGGCTGGGTGGGGCGTGAGCCCACCCTCCAAGAATTTGTAGGCTTTATTTAAAATGTTATGTACTGTGGCGCTACCAGAAATAAAAAAACTTAACAAGCCGACCAAATTTAAGACTCCCCCCCCCCTTGAAAAATCCTGAAATGACGCCCCTGGATCACACACTTGCCAGGTAGATCCAATGACATGACAGCAAAAAAGTGTTCCTTTTGATGTTGGTGTTTGATTGCTAAACTGGCTATTGCCATTACAACGCACGTGTTTTCCCTTTCATGTGCCTGAAAAATCTTTCTCAGCGAATCCACTTTGCTAATCAGATTTAGTATTTATAGCGTCGGAGACGGTTGCTCAGATACATTCGATAAGTCAGCTTTTTTGTGTGAAAAGAATCCTGTATTACCGTACAGATATGGCCATCGCTATCAAGTGCTTATCCCTGCTGACGCTGCTGGCTGCAGCTGTTGTACTGAGCAATGGGGCGGCTCTGGCTAAAAGAGTAAGTCGTGGCGTACGTATTACCTGCAAGATAGTCATTGGACTGACATCCCGTATCTTGTGTTATAGAATGGCTGTAATGTAGGCATTGACGTTAGTGAGGACAAAGACTGTAAAGTAGGCATTGACGTTAGTGAAGACAAAGACTGTAAAGTAGGCATTGACGTTAGTGAAGACAAAGACTGTAAAGTAGGCATTGACGTTAGTTAAGACAAAGACTGTAAAGTAGGCATTGACGTTAGTGAAGACAAAGACTGTAATGTAGGCATTGACGTTAGTGAAGACAAGGACTGTAAAGTAGGCATTGACGTTAGTTAATACAAAGACTGTAATGTAGGTATTGACGTTAGTGAAGACAATGACTGTAAAGTAGGCATTGACGTTAGTTAAGACAAAGACTGTAATGTAGGCATTGACGTTAGTTAAGACAAAGACTGTAATGTAGGCATTGACGTTAGTGAAGACAAAGACTGTATAGTAGACAATTACGTTAGTTAAGACAAAGACTGTAATGTAGGCATTGACGTTCGTGAAGACAAAGACTGTAAAGTAGGCATTGACGTTAGTGAAGACAAAGACTGTAATGTAGGCATTGATACTAGAGAGGACAAAGTGATTCGAATTTTTAGAATCATTTGACTTGTCTTAATAACAAATAAAAGAGGACTATCTGATGGGTTAATGAACAGTTGTGGATAAATGATCTGATTTGTATCTGACTTGTAACTAACTTGTATCTGTCTTGTATCTGACTTATAACTTGAAGACTTGTAACTTCTTTTCATTCGTCTTATATTTGAGGATTTGTTGATTATTCTGGCTCCTGGTTTGAATTCAGGGTTTGCATTCTCTTTGATGAGTTGCCGTCCAATGCTTGGGATGTTGGCGTTGGTGGGCATTGAACTCCAAAACACCAGCTATTGCGTTTGAGTCAGTTTAAACCGCTCGGCCACCCGGTCTGACTTGTATCCAGGGTTTCTTTCAGCTATATATTCGGGGCCCCCCTCCCCGGGAAAGGCAACGCCCCCCCCCCCCGAGCAAAAATGTGTTCAACAATAAATCAACTGGCACTGCTGGCACTGCTGGCACTGCTGGCACAACCCCTTCTGAAATAATCACTGCTTATATCCGACTTGTATCTGACTTGTATCTGACTTGTATTTGAATTGTATCTGACTTGTATCTGACTGGTAACTGACTTGTATCTGACTTGTATCTGACTTGTATTTGAATTGTATCTGACTTGTATCTAACTGGTAACTGACTTGTATCTGACTTGTATCTGACTTGTATTTGAATTGTATCTGACTTGTATCTAACTGGTAACTGACTTGTATCTGACTTGTATCTGACTTCTATTTGAATTGTATCTGACTTGTATCTAACTGGTAACTGACTTGTATCTGACTTGTATCTGACTTGTATTTGAATTGTATCTGACTTGTATCTGACTTTGTGACTTTAATCTGACTCTCTGACTTGTATCTGGGGAGGAGGGTTTCGGTGGGTCGGGGGGGGGGGACATCAGGTCACCACAGACAATGGTCAGGTATAAATTCTAGAATTGATTCTTATATTACACTTTATCTGAATTTTACTTAGGGATGGCAGCGAAATCAGAGTTGGGGGGGGGGGGTAATAAAACGTTAAATTAAGGAAGTTCTGAATCCTCAAATTTGTTTTTCGTTACCTCTTTCAGGGGTTAGTGAGGTGGGGGGGGGGGTAATCAAACGTTAAATTGACCCTGACATCATTTGTCCCGTTAGATGCGTCTCTGGGGGATAAACGCGGATTAGTTTTCAGTAAATCGTAAACAATTGGTCTGTGGCAAACAATCGGAATGTCCTGTGCAGTGTCATACAATCTGGGATTAGATTAAATGTTTAAAAGCGTACTTACAAGACCTAGATAAGTGCACTCTTGAATACCTTAGAAATTATCAATAAATTTCGAAATGAGGTTACAGTTTAAAAATAAGTTCGATGGGTTTACCGCCCAAAGCAATTAAACCATCTTAAATAAATTATGACATTATCGTTAAGGAGTGCGCCCCCCCCCCCTCTCCCTGATTGGAACAAATAGGAAGGTCTAAACCTATGGCATAACCAAAATAGAACCAAATAAGGCCAAACTTACACAATGATGAAAGACATTAACAGATTAAAAAAGTAAGCAACTTTTTTTTTTTTTTTTTTTTTTTTTTTTTTTTTTTGGGGGGGGGGGGTAGTTTTCAAAGTTGTCCTATTGGAGCCAAATCATAACTCTGGCTTTTATGATCATTCTAATTTAACAGGAACTCGGAGCCACACAGGAGCCTGACGACAACGATTGGTCACAAGTCCCAAATGAGTGGTGGGAAGAGGTGGTCAAACAGGCAGCTGAAGATTCCGACTACGACAGCGGCACTTACGCTTGGCAACCGGCAACAGATCCAGAAGATTCGGAAGAAAGCCAAGAGTTTAAGAAATCAGTGGAAAGGTCAACTGACATTTTTGTCCAGGTAAATGACAACGATGTCAATGATGAAGACAGAGGAGTTGATGACACTGATGACGATGAAGCAGACGATAGCCAAGATAGAGCATTTCTTGAGTCAGGCGATGATCTTTCAGATGGTAGTGAAGATAAATATGACGGACAAGAATATTATGAACAATTGGATAGTGAAGATAGTTATGCTGACCTAGAATATTATGAAGAAGAGGATAGTGAAGATAGATATGATGAGCTAGAATATAATGAAGATGATGATAGTGAAGATAGTTATGCTGACCCAGAATATTATGAAGAAGAGGATAGTGAAGATAGATATGATGAGCTAGAATATAATGAAGATGATGATAGTGAAGATAGTTATGCTGACCCAGAATATTATGAAGAAGAGGATAGTGAAGATAGATATGATGAGTTAGAATATAATGAAGATGATGATAGTGAAGATAGTTATGCTGACCCAGAATATTATGAAGAAGAGGATAGTGAAGATAGATATGATGAGCTAGAATATAATGAAGATGATGATAGTGAAGATAGTTATGCTGAACCAGAATATTATGAAGAAGAGGATAGTGAAGATAGATATGATGAGCTAGAATATAATGAAGATGATGATAGTGAAGATAGTTATGTTGACCCAGAATATTATGAAGAAGAGGATAGTGAAGATAGATATGATGAGCTAGAATATAATGAAGATGATGATAGTGAAGATAGATATGATGAGCTGGAATATAATGAAGATGATGATAGTGAAGATAGATATGATGAGCTAGAATATAATGAAGAAGAGGATAGTGAAGTTAACTATGCTGAACCAGAATATTATGAAGAAGAGGATAGTGCAGATAGATATGAAGAACCAGAAAATTAGGAAGAAACTGATAGTGAAAGTACATGAAATAGGTGTGTCAGAAGATGTTAACTAACTTGATGTCAAACTAGGGTGCGATGATGACTGCCACTTGTTCACTTCCTGATTGTCTTACTCTCATCTCAACAATTCAAGAATATCTATTTTTAAAAAAAACCTGTCTACTTTGTCACGTGATAAAAATGGTAGCGCTTAATAAACTCCATTGTTGACATCCTCCAAATTCTTGCGTTTCTTTTCTTTGTACTGCTCTAAAATTAGACCGAACTTTTGAATCAAAAATTATTTATTCCTTAATGATCAACAGATTTTTTTCCCTTTAATTAAATGATAATATTGATGTGAGGCAAACTGATCTTCTTAATAAAAAAACAAACAAAAACACTATTGAAACCATGGAAACCGTGCATCTCATTGGGTTTTTACAGCACGTAAAATTTCTGTAGTGTGCTAAAGTGGCCTATTGAATGGGGACTCAGGGAAGTAATGCCAAAAATATGTGAACACAGATTGCAGAGTGACATCAGCGCTGATCAGACCAAAGTTTAAAAACACTCCAATACACTAAATTTGAAAAAAAAAAAAGAGAATTTCTCACATTTTCGGAAGTATGTAAGTAAGCGTTTCACTTTATGATGAATATTTCTTTTCTCCGTCCTTATTCTGAACGAAGAGCAATATATCTTTTCACTTTCCTCATTCTAAACTAAGAGCAACATTTCTTTTCACTTTCCTCATTCTAAACTAAGAGCAACATTTCTTTTCACTTTCCTCATTCTAAACTAAGAGCAACATATCTTTTCACTTTCCTCATTCTAAACTAAGAGCAACATTTCTTTTCACTTTCCTCATTCTAAACTAAGAGCAAACTTCTTTCCGAAGCGGCTAACTTTCAAGTTTACAATTTATATTGTTAGATTTATAACCAACAACTTATTTCTCCAAATGACTGTTATTTTGCTGAGACGGCTAATGATGCTGTCCACGCATGCGAGTTAAGCCATCCATTCCTCATGCATACAACGCCTTACTACAACAGAGATTCATTGACTAAAAACGTCGGAGATGTATAGTACATGTACAGTGACGCTGCACACTACATTCATCATTGGCTAGTTCGCTGGAACTCTTGAGTGCACCAAGGTTACCAAAGTGTGTTCAATGAACGAGGCCAACATATCTTGGCAAAAGAACCTGAGACCAAATACTCTCTCCACTATTGCCGTCCATTTGAAGTAGTCCTTTCTTGAGGTGTCCAGCTCCGCTCTACTAAAGAGTCACGACCTCCAATATGTTAAGCGTCCAATTTCTGCGGGCCGGTGAATGTCTTCCGACCGACGGTTAAAACCCCACGCACCAAGATCACTTTAACAGTCAACAACTTTTTAAATTATCTTTATTTATTTACGAAGATGGCTTTTGGCCGATACGTTGGTTGCTAATGCTTCTTGTATCTTCAAACTCTCCAATAGCGCGTGCGTCTTTACCCCCAGAGTCCCGCAGGAGGAATACATCCATGACACTATAGTGTTGTTGAACTCTTAAAACTGATCCCCTACATGTTGAGCATTTCTCCTACACCCTCCAGCTCTAGTCGCCTGATTTCTCTTCTGCATCTCTTCCTTATCTCTAGAGTTCTTTGACGCGCTGGAGAAATATCTTAGTTACATAAACACAAAACCGTTCAATGTTAAAAGAACCGAAAGACAGGCTATCAGCATAACTATCTTAATCAATGGGAAGAACTTGGAAGAATGAGAAACTTTTCTTAAAAAAACTCTTTCTATTAAACACACTACGATAATATTTTAATACAAAGTAAACATGCTAAGATCATGTCTGTTGTTTGGTCACTAAAATGGGAGCACTGAGATCATGTCTGTTGTTTGAGCACTAAAATGGGAGCACTGAGATCATGAGTGTTATTTGGTCACTACAATGGGAGCAATGGTATCATGTCTGTTGTTTGGTCACTAAAATGGGAGCACTGAGATCATGTCTGTTGTTTGAGCACTAAAATGGGAGCACTGAGATCATGAGTGTTATTTGGTCACTACAATGGGAGCAATGGTATCATGTCTGTTGTTTGGTCACTAAAATGGGAGCAGTGAGATCATATCTGTTGTTTGAGCACTAAAATGGGAGCACTGAGATCATGAGTGTTATTTGGTCACTACAATGGGAGCAATGGTATCATGTCTGTTGTTTGGTCACTAAAATGGGAGCACTGAGATCATATCTGTTGTTTGAGCACTAAAATGGGAGCACTGAGATCATGAGTGTTATTTGGTCACTACAATGGGAGCAATGGTATCATGTCTGTTGTTTGGTCACTAAAATGGGAGCACTGAGATCATATCTGTTGTTTGAGCACTAAAATGGGAGCACTGAGATCATGAGTGTTATTTGGTCACTACAATGGGAGCAATGGTATCATGTCTGTTGTTTGGTCACTAAAATGGGAGCACTGAGATCATATCTGTTGTTTGAGCACTAAAATGGGAGCACTGAGATCATGAGTGTTATTTGGTCACTACAATGGGAGCAATGGTATCATGTCTGTTGTTTGGTCACTAAAATGGGAGCAGTGAGATCATATCTGTTGTTTGAGCACTAAAATGGGAGCACTGAGATCATGAGTGTTATTTGGTCACTACAATGGGAGCAATGGTATCATGTCTGTTGTTTGGTCACTAAAATGGGAGCACTGAGATCATATCTGTTGTTTGAGCACTAAAATGGGAGCACTGAGATCATGAGTGTTATTTGGTCACTACAATGGGAGCAATGGTATCATGTCTGTTGTTTGGTCACTAAAATGGGAGCACTGAGATCATATCTGTTGTTTGAGCACTAAAATGGGAGCACTGAGATCATATCTGTTGTTTGAGCACTAAAATGGGAGCACTGAGATCATATCTGTTGTTTGAGCACTAAAATGGGAGCACTGAGATCATGTCTGTTGTTTGAGCACTAAAATGGGACCACTGAGATCATATCTGTTGTTTGAGCACTAAAATGGGAGCACTGAGATCATGTCTGTTGTTTATGCTATGAAATGGGAGCGACCTGACTCAAATAGTCCAACAACATTTGATGTGTTGAGAACTGTGTCTATTTTCGGCGAGAAAACTCTTCCTACAGATCATGCATTAGGCACGTGATCATTGGAGTAGGAACATGCATTAGTCCAGATGTAATTGTTCTTAGTGGAGTAATATTGATTAGACACATGGTAGGTGGGATTATGTCTATATAATCTCCCTGTGAAAGTCAACATGGGAAGGGTCTCACTTGCACATTTCGCTAATGAAATATAACTCGTATTTTTTTTAAAACTAGGAACTAGCTCTGTAACTAATTCTGTAACTTACTCTGTAATTAACTCCGTAATTAACTCTTTAACTAGATTTCTAACTAACATTGTAAGAAACTCTGTAAAAAAAATATATAACTAGCTCTGTAACTAACTCTGTAACTAGCTCGCTAACTAACTCTGTAACTAGTTCTGTAACTAGTTCTGTAACTAACTCTGTAACTAACTCTGTAACCAATATTGTAACTCACTTTGTAATTAACTCTTTAACTAGTTCTGTAACTAGTTCTGTAACTAACTCTGTAACTAACTCTGTAACTAACATTGTAACTTACTTTGTAACTAACTCTGTAACTAGTTCTGTAACTAGTTCTGTAACTAACTCTGTAACTAAAATTGTAACTTACTTTGTAACTAACTCTGTAACTAACATTGTAACTTACTTTGTAACTAACTCTGTAACTAACATTGTAACTTACTTTGTAACTAACTCTGTAACTGACATTGTAACTTACTTTGTAACTAACTCTGTAACTAACATTGTAACTTACTTTGTAACTAACTCTGTAACTAACATTGTAACGTACTTTGTAAATAACCCTGTAACTGACATTGTAACTTACTTTGTAACTAACTCTGTAACTAAAATTGTAACTTACTTTGTAACTAACTCTGTAACTAACATTGTAACTTACTTTGTAACTAACTCTATAACTAACATTGTAACTTACTTTGTAACTAACTCTATAACTAACATTGTAACTTACTTTGTAACTAACTCTGTAACTAACATTGTAACTTACTTTGTAACTAACTCTGTAACTAACATTGTAACTTACTTTGTAACTAACTCTGTAACTAGCATTGTAACTTACTTTGTAACTAACTCTGTAACTAACATTGTAACTTACTTTGTAACTAACTCTGTAACTGACATTGTAACTTACTTTGTAACTAACTCTGTAACTAACATTGTAACTTACTTTGTAACTAACTCTGTAACTAGCATTGTAACTTACTTTGTAACTAACTCTGTAACTAACATTGTAACTTACTTTGTAACTAACTCTGTAACTGACATTGTAACTTACTTTGTAACTAACTCTGTAACTAACATTGTAACTTACTTTGTAACTAACTCTGTAACTAAC